CGGGAGGCTCCGGCCGGGGATGCGGCGGCAGCTGCTTCCTGGTTTGAAGCTCGCGGAGGGGGGGAGAGCGTGAGCCCGCAGAGGCGGGGGCAGGAGTAGAAGCAGGGAAGGCGGGGGAAGAGACGCTTGTGGCTGGAGCTAAGCTAACCGGACGGGTCGCTCCGGCTCTCGGGGGAGAGGAGCTGCTTGGCCCTGGAGAAGGGGCGAGTCTCACGCGAGCCTCGGGAAGCGCCGCCCGCTCGAGAGGGACGACCCGGCTTTCCCAGCCCTCTTAGGGCTAGCGCCGGGCTCCCCTCCTTTCCACCTCGGGAGGGAGGGAGGGAAGGAGGGGAGGAGGAGGTCCCACGGAGAGATAGAATGGCCAGTCGAGGGGTGCTTGGGCTCTGCTTTCCCCCAGAGCTGCCTCCACTCCTGCGGCTGCCGCGAGGGCTAGCCTGAGCTGGGGCTCCTCGCTCTCCTGCTGCGAGCCCGTGCGGTCCCCCGGGGCCGGGGAGCGGCGCGGGTATGTCGTCCGGCACCATGAAGTTCAATGGCTATTTGAGGGTCCGCATCGGCGAGGCTGTGGGGTTACAACCCACCCGCTGGTCCCTGCGCCACTCACTCTTCAAGAAAGGCTACCAGCTGCTGGACCCCTACCTGACGGTAAGCGTGGACCAGGTGCGCGTGGGCCAGACCAGCACCAAGCAGAAGACCAACAAGCCAACGTACAATGAGGAATTCTGCGCTAACGTCACGGACGGGGGCCACCTCGAGCTGGCCGTCTTTCACGAGACGCCGCTGGGCTACGACCACTTCGTGGCCAACTGCACCTTGCAGTTCCAGGAGCTGCTGCGCACGGCCGGCGCCTCGGACACCTTCGAGGGCTGGGTGAGTAGCGGGCACCACAATTCCCTTTGTGTCGGCTGGACCCCTTCTCCTCTTCCATTTTCCAAAACTCGCCGGGGTTCCGCTTTCCTTCGCTCCGCGGTGGAGGGAATTCCCTCCAGACTTTGGTCCTCGCCCAGGTGTCCGCGGCACTGGTGACGCGACCGCGGTGGGTGTGTGCCGACGCAGGTGTGTTTCCCGAAGGCCGGGCTGGACAAGGTCTTCTTTCTCGACGGCAGCTCCCGCTAACGGGAAGTCGGGCGGGGGGCCAGGGCGGAAATTCGCGGGAAAGGCAAAGAAGGGGTGCTATGAAAGTGACTTGATTTGGGTAAAGTGCTTCACGCGCTTCTTAGGAGAAAGCCATACATTCTCCGCGTATTATTCATAATGTTTATGCTACATGTTGGTTCAGCCGCTCAGAGATGAGCACGTGTTTCGGCATGTACATCCATTACATCCCAGAGGCACACGAGCTACACAGGCAGGGATCCGAGTGCCTTGGTCTGCAGGCTGCAGAGTTACCTTGCTTCGCAGTTTCCCCGAGATGAAATTTACATGTTTCCAAGTAACTTCAGTCAGCCTGAGATGAAGCGAGTCCTGCAATAGGCGTTTCTGCTCCTGTTGGTCTAGAAGAGGCTTGGAGGACTCCTCAGGACTGTCAATCTCTCTGCCTTCCCCAACACCTGTTGGTGTTCCTGTGTGTCGACCTGTAGCTACCCTGCCTTCCCACTTGTCTCTACTTTTCATGTAATTCACATGAGGCAAAATTTCTTCTTCAGGTAAATTAAAATTTTAGAGCATACTACACAATGCTTTTAATAAAATGCTTTGCTTCCTAGTCCTCACTCTGTCCTTGTGATGCTGGTGGTAACGTTTCCACTTTGAGATGAGCAAATGATAATAATGAAGCGATCTAGTTTGGCAAAATGGATGTCCACTGTTTGAAGATTCTAGGAGTTTAATGGTTTATATTCTGCACTAGTCTGTTTTCAACCCAGAATGTGAAGCAGTAGTGAAAATCTGCTTGAAGTTAACAAGTGGTGGAATTAGAGGAGATGCACAATGAAAACTTATCTAGGTGTTCATTTTACACTTTGGGGAATTGATAATTTTGCAGTATATTCTTCTAGAATAATAGAAGACTTGTGGAACTGTAGCTTTCTTTTAAACAAAGGTAAAAGGCCACAAAAACTGTTTAACCTGAATCATCAGATTATGAGTTAATTTTCCTGCAGCCTAACTTCTTGGAATTTGGAAGGGGAATAGTAAAGCAGATATTTCCATTTGATCCTGAGAGTGTAAGGATATGAAATAGAAATGAGTGTAGGAATCCAGATGAAATTGTTGAATTAGTGTATCTGATTAGCAGTGAGGTTGGACAAAGCTCTAGAGGAACTGGTTTGAAAATATAGTGGTATAGGGACCAGTAGTTGGCATAATGGGTATGTTGCTGGACTCCCATGTAGTCAACCGCAGTTGGAGTCCCAGACCCTGGTGGCTAAACTCACTCACGCCAGACACATGTGCGTGTGTGCCCAAGATCCTGAGAGGAGAATGGAGGAGAAGGGATTGCGGTGTGGCCACGGGGGGAGGTGGGTGGTGATTTCTCGCTTTTTGTCTCTCTGTCTCTCTCTGTCTTTCTGGCGAGCGCATGTGCCCTGTAGCAAAAACCTCTCCCCAACCCCCAGCCCCATCCCGCAAAAAAAAAAAAAAAAAAAAAAGGGAGAGGAGGAGGCCGGAGAGAGCAAGTGAGCTGCCTTCTTGGGGCTGGCAGGTGGCATGGTGGTTAGGGGTGCTGGAGTCCCACAAGGCCGGCCATAGTTCAAGTCCTGGACCTGATGGCTTGCTTTCTTACTTTCTCTCTCACTCTGTCCCTCTCTGCTCAAATTTAAATGAAAAATTTCAGAGAAACATATCTTTAAAAAAATATACATGGTACAGATTGGCCAGGAACATGTCTTCTGGGAGAGAGCCTAGACTGATCCTTCTTACCCCTAGTCTGCACATTTTAATCACTGGGGAATTTAAAAAAATTCCCACTGTTAAAGACTCCAGATAGGTATCTCTGTACATCCCCAGCATCAGCCTTTTTAGGTTTCCCAGGTGATTTCAATGTGGAGTCAAAGTTAAGAACCTGTGGCCTATATGAAGACCAAAGATGAGGACTGAAGCAATCCTAAGCGTAGGGAGATCTAAATTACCTACCTGGGTGGAGCTATGCTGAGCTGCTTGTTGTACACTAAATAAGTATAGATTCAAGTGTAAATTAAGTTTTTAAATTTATGATTGTCAGAAATAATTATATCTAGATATTTAATATAGCTCACTGGTGGTGTTTTGGTAGGATAAGGTTAGCATTCAAATGACCTTAAAGCCAGTGATTTGTCATGGATTTATATTAAATTAGGGAGCAAAGTGCTTTTTTTTTTTTTTTTTTTAAGTTTTGTTTTATTGATTCTGGATGTTGGGCCAGCAGGTGCCGTAGCAGTTAAGTTGCTAGACTCTGACGTGGTCGACAGTGATTTGAGTCCTGGATCCAAAGCCATCCCCCTGGGGGAATGATTTCTCGCTTTTTGTCTCCCTCTGGAGAGTACATATGCCCTATAGCAAAAATTTCTCTCTCTCAGAAAAATAAATACTCTGGATGTTTGGAAGTCATGAGGATAGGCTAAGAAAATATTTGGAAATATAAGGAATGTTTATTTAAAAAAAATTATCCTTTATAGATCTAAAGGTGCTTTTGAAGTTCAAGATTACTGAAATACTTATTTATCTTTGGTATATTAAATTTAAATGTATAGTTTACTGAGACAATTATAAGTGAAATACTTGAATTTATTCCATAGTAAATTTATGTGTTGCAAATGTTTCTACAAGTTAATGACTTTTTCTTATTAAATGAATAAACCTCAAGGCAGAATGATCAAGGGAAGACAAAACAAAACCTCTCCAAATAACCATATTAGAAATGGGAGAGGGGACATCACTACAGATCCTATGGGCATTAAAATGATAGAATGTCATGAACAATTTTTTTTGAATAAATTCCATACTTTTGATGAAATGAACAAATTCCTTGAAAGACACAATTACCAAACCTCAAACAACTTCACTAGCTTTATACCTGTAAAGTAATTGAACCTGTGATTAAAAAAGTTTCTATTGGGTCACCAGAGAAGTCATGATATATTTTCCTGTTTTTTTTTTTTTTTTTTGTAAAAATGTGTCATGACTTTTCTGACAACCCTATACAGTGCATACTTGACATCCCAGATGGCTTTATTGGTGACTTCTATGATACATTTAAGAGAGAAATATTACCAATTCTATGCAGACTTTTTCAAAGTATAGAAGAGAAGGAAACAGATAACAACTCATACCATAGGCCAACACTATCCTTATACCAAGACCTGATGAAGACCTTACAAAAAAATAAAATTCAGACCAATACAAAATTCTTATATTTTAGCAAATCAAACCCAATGATATAGTGAATAGATAGTGATCATGTTCAATTAGTTTATGACCACTACTACAAGGTTGATTTGACTTTTAAAAATCATTAATGCAATTCTTCATTTAAACAGAGTAAAAGTGAAGATCCCTGTGGACATCTGAATAGATATAAAATGTATTTGACAGAATTTAATATCTATCTATGGAAAAAACTTAGCAAATTAGGAATGAAAAGGAACTTCTTCAACCTGATAAAGGATATTAGTGAGAGACGTGTAGTAACAACTTAATGATGAAAAAAATATTCCCTAAGATCAAGAACAAGGTAAGGATTTCTGCTCTTATCACATCTTTTAACACTATACTGGAGGTGCTGGTCAGCACAACAAGAAGATTTCAAGAAATGTACACAGATACAAAGGAAGACATAAAACTGTCTTTATTTGCAGATGAATGATTATAGAATTTTTTTTAAAAAAACTTGATTTGTTTTTCGGAAGAGGTTTTTGCTGTAGCTTGCCAGAAAGTCAGAGAGAGACAGGCAGAAAGAGAAATCACCCCCCGACCCTCCCAGAGGGGATGGCCACATTACAATCCCTTCTCCTCTATTCTCCTCTCTCGGGATCTTGGGTATGCACGCACACCCGCCCAGCATGAGTTTAAACTACCTGGTCCAAGACTTGACCTGCCATCCACTGCATGAGAGTCCAGCAATATAGCCATTATGCTAACTGCTGATCCCAGTTTCCCACTTCCTATCTTTCTGGCAAGCACACACGCTCTATAGCAAAAAAATCCCCCCTCCCCTGCAAAAAGAAAGAAAGAAAGAAAGCTAGGTAGGTCACAGGAGAAATTTCAGTGATACTGAGTTCAGTAATTTTTTTTTTTAAAGAGAGATTTTTGCTGTAGAGTGGGTGTGCTCACTAGAGAGACAGAGAGAGAGAATTCACTCCCTAGGAGGGGAAGGCCATGCTGCAACCCCCCCCCCTTTTTTTTTCCATTCTTGCATATACACACAAGCTCCTGGTGTGGGTTTAAGTCTCTGGATTTGGGACTCAAACAACAGTCAACTACACGGGAGTCCAGCGATATAACTATTTATGCCATCTGGTGATCCCAGGTTCAGTAAAATTTTTAGGTAGAGAACAAAAAAATCCTAACTAAAAATATCAATAACTTGACTTTATTAGAACTAAATACTATTACTTCTCAAAGAATGCTTAAGAAAATGACAACACAAACCACAGACTGGGAGAAATTACTTACAACATGTAAATGACAGAGGGTTTATAACGCAGATATTGGGGTGTTGGAAAAGTCATGACATATTTTTTTTCTGTTTTTCAATGCAAAAATGCATCATGACTTTTGTGACAACCCGATATATAAACTAATTTTTATAACTCAGTAATAATGACAAAAATGCCTGATTTAAAACTGACTCTAATATTTGAATAAGCACCTTTATGGAAAATAGCATATTAAAAGATGCTCAAAATCATTAATCATGAAGGAAATGCAAATTAAAACCAAGAAATATCAATTTG